ATCTTGGGCCCAAGATCGGGCGGCACAAACATCTTCGGCAGGCAGCTGGCAATGTTCAGATTTCCCGTTCGCAGCGTGTACTCCGGCATGGGCAGCCCCTGCATGAGATCCGCAAACCGAGTGGGTAGAATCTCGGCAAAATCATCGCCCGGCGGCCAGTCTTTCAACTTGAGCAGCATGTGCTTTCCGTTGGCGTCCAGTAGACGCTTGCTCATGCACTGGAATCCCTCCCAGAAGTGCCGCATGGGCTGATTGGGCACCAGGTTGCCATTGAGGCAGTTGATCAAATCGTTTGGCTTGTCGCCAAAGTCCCGACAGAAGGCCTCCGGACGCCACAGATCCAGGTTCAATGAGCGAGCCACCTCTGAGATCATCACGGGCTGGCCACACTTCCATACCTCCTGGTAGAGCACACGATTGTCCGGATGCATTGCATCCGTGAGCCTCAAGAGCTTGCCATCGCACAGCCATTCGTGGGGCACGCCCGGGGCCAGCTGTGTGGACTGGGCCAGGGTCATGGCTCTCGGAGGCAGAAACCTCCTCAGACCGGCCAGACCCTTTCGCAGAAAATTTATGTGCTTGAAGTTATCAAACGCACTCGTGATTGGATCCTTTCCGAGTGTCTCTTTGGTCCAAGCCCGACCCGGGACGTAGTCTATGCCCCGTTCCCGGGCGAATTCCAGCTTTTTGGAGTGCAGCTGCTCCAGCCTCTGCTGCTGGTGTAGTTTCTGCTCGGTGGCCAGCGAAGAGAAGCTCGTGTGCTGCTTCAATTGCGACTCCTTTATCATGTCCTGTATGAAAGCATTCAACTGGGGGTCCTTTACCTCCTGCTTGCTGAGCAGGCAGCCGCAGACCTGGGGCACCTGCCACAGGGTGCGCACCTCGTGCAGCAACCTGCCCAAGACGTTCAGGGCATCACCGGCAATGATCTGCGTCAGCATCAGCTCGGTCATGGCATGCTGCTGCGAACCACTGGGATCGGTGCAGAGCCCCCAGTGGTATTCGTCGCATCCCTTCTGCAGGGACGTCTCCACGCGCCGCAGGCGCTGACCTTCTTTTCTGTCCTTGAAGCAGTCCAGACAGACGCCAAAGCCGCACTTGCGACAGGTCCAGTGATAGTTAAACAACGTGGTGTCGCAGACATCGCAGATCTCCCGAATGCCCTTTACAGCCTTCTTCCAGGCGATGGTCCCATCGGAATTCTCGTGCAACTTCAGAGCCTCCGCTTCCTGGCGCCACAGATAGCAAAACTGATCGCCCGCATGAAGGAGTATGTAACGACACACTTGTATGTCCATGAAACCACTGGTGGGTGCCGTCGTACCATCCGGCTGCCAAATGCTGCAGTCCTCCTTTGTGGGCTCGATGTAGGGGTTCGGGAACCCGGCCACACTCAGCTCCCCCTTGCCGTTGTACTGCAGGCGTCGGAATTCGTAGAACCTGCAATAGACATCGTTGCTGGTGGCGTTGCTCTCGCTGGAGGAAGGCGCGTCGTGTCGCTTGCGGCATTCGCGACACTTGGGAACCTCCGCTACCGCTACTGCTGTATCTCGCGTGGGTTGCTGCTGCTGCAACTTAAAGCAGGGCAGGTCCTGTAAAAAGATAGAGCAACTCTCTCGGTACTGCTTATGCCGGAGCTCCTCCTCATCCGTCAACAGTGTTTCTTGACTACTGCTGAAAGGTTTCAGCTCTTGGTCCTGCCTTGGCTTCGCCTCTGGCGTTCCATTTCCACTCTGCGTCTCCAAGCATGGTTTCTTTGTCTTGTTCTCATTCGAAATGTGTATCTCAATAATCGATTTCGGATCCGATCTCATGGACAGACAACTTAAAGGGGATACCGTGCGCTTGCGGCTTGCGGTGGCAGAAGTTTGAGCAGCAACAGCTGCTACCGCTGCCAGTTCGGTCTGTGGCATTCTGTGTGTATCTCTGGCCTTCGAAAATAAGAAAAGGGAAGGAAGAAAAGAGGGTGGGTTGAGCTTTTCGGTTTCTGTCGGGCCTTCTTTTTCCCCTCTGCACTGGTAATGCTTCTTGAGTGAAGTGGCTGATGCTGCGTGCTCCTCCATGCTCCTCTATGCTCCGTGCTCCCGATCTTCTTTGCTTTTTGTCTTTCTTTATCTTGATGTATAATGCTTGCCATCTTGTCTCTTATTGATCTTTTTTTGTCTTCCGTTTAACACTCTCGGCGTGGTTGCAGACTGCAACTGCATATCCGGTAATGTGGCGGACAACTTTCGTTGGCTTTTCTTCTTCAATGCACAAGCACATCTTTCGCGAATGAATCGAGCAGAGAGCTTAAAGAGAATACAGCACAACTACTCACTGCCTCCACATTACCTGGCGCAGCGGAGAGCCTTACTTAACACATAGCATGCATCAGGTTAATATAGATTTTAATTAGTATGTACTATTACAGACGTTATCCCACATCCAACACACACCGATATACACACATACATGCACACATTTGTATCCAAAAAGATATGGTTATTTCGATAGGACGCGGTAATAAACCTCGGTAATAATTTGACTGTCCATTGATCAACTACGCCACAAATTGGGACTGTGGGCGTCGTATACACCCCTTTATATGCGAGTATATTATACGCACAGTCGACACAGAAATGCAACAGTGGGCAGTCTTTTTGGAGCAGTCAACCACAACGAAAAATTGACCCTTATCAGCGAACCACGATACGAGCATCAATGTGCACACAGTCATGTACGTTTCAAGTCGGGCATCACTCTTTGAGCGTTCACTGTACAGCAACATTTTTCAACTATTTTTTGCCATTTTTAGGAAGAACGTGATAATCAAATTAAAAGCGATACATAGTCAAAAAGGTTTTCGAATGATATCTGAGGGGCTCTGGGTCTTAACAGCTCTGTTAATGCTAACATGCCAATTTACAGAATCAACAAGTGTCGCTGGGCAGGCAGGCAGACAGAAATTCCGGGCCGACGGATATGGAAGGCAAGTGCCTTCCAATTATATGGTCATATAATTGAGGGGACATTGGGAATTGACCCTGGATGACACAAGAACAGCCGTACCGTCCCGTCCATATATACACACAGAGCCAGCACAGAAGTCTTACGAAACACGGCGAAAGAGAAATGTGGAAAAACATGGGAAGCGACGACAGAAAACCCTACAAGCGACTCGCTCTCCACACCTCTTCCCCCTTTTGCAAATTGATCAATCAATTCACTTTCTGGGCGCTTCATGACCTTTTAATTCAATGAAAGCCTGCACTTTATATAACACCACCACTGCAATCAATAAACAGTAGAGAACAATGGAAAGCACGCACGACGAGCAGCGAAGTTTAAATTTTTTGAGTTTACTCAACGCCGTCTGATAACGCCGACTCCAGATAAATATTTGTGTACATTTACTACTATTTTGAGGCGCTGTGCGGTGGCACGGCAACACTGGCCGATTACTACATCGCTCTAGATTTGTTTTTTTTTTTCTTCAATGAATTTGTTTTTGCCCCGCCTTTAGGAGGTGCACAGTCCATGATTTAGGTTTGTTAAAGAACAATAATAAACACTTTGGTCACCAGGAAACGTTTTCGTTGTTGCACTTTTATCAATTTAAATTTGTGTACTGAGCATTACAAACACCATCACACTACGCTACTGACGCACACACACACACCACATAAAAAACTTGGCGTTCAAAGTGGATAGAACAAACAAGCTTTCAACAGCTAATTTATACGCTTTGGAAGGTCATTGCAACTTACACTTACTACTTATTGCATTTTGGGAAACAGTCGGCCATTTCTTTTATAAAACTCTACTCGTGAAAATCAGTACTTTAATAAAAAATTCGATTTTTCATTTGCACCAGTGACTTATCGGTAAATCGGTATCGGTCTGACGAATGAAATAAGGAACTTAGCCCACTTTGGCCCCTTTTTTTAAACAACATCGATGATATCGCCGAGCTCTGTTGACTGAAAATGTCGACTATTTTAAAGAAATGTTTTAATTTGGCTAAAACTGTGAGAACAGCGACGATAACGAGTCTTCTTACTGCTCCAAAGCAGCAATGGCAGGCCTTGAGGTGGGTTTCGGCAGTTGTAGTGATTTTATTGGCGTACGCTCATCTTTGTTTTTATGTAATACGTAGTGCTGCCGCCTCCCAAACGCCGCATGCTCAAATGATGCACACCAGCCCGATGCGGCATGGTCTGATGGAGTTCTTCGATGACCCCAAGCACTGGAGCGAGAACGATATAAAGGTGGGACGGGCCTGGAGGACGGATGAGCTGCGCATCAAATCCAACAAGGAGCTGCATCAGCTCTGGTTTATATTGCTGAAGGAACGGAATATGCTTCTTACTATGGAGCACGAATGCAATGACAAAATGGAGATCTTTCCCAGCCCCGAGCGAATTGATAAGGTAACTGACCAACCTTTAGCTTGTTGAGCATGTAAAATATAAAAAGCCATTTATTCATAGGTGAAAATTTCCATGGACAATCTTGAGAAAGTGGTGCGGGAACGCAACACGGCCTATCATTTGCTGGAAACGGGTGAAACAGGCGAGCGACCCCAGAAGAGGGTAAACAACGCGTTTGGCTTACAGGTCAATTATAAATCCTGCGAGCATGTCCTGCCACCCTTCATGAACCTGAAATGGATAAAGTCCCGCAATATTGGCTTTGGCGGCAGGGCCGTGAATAGATTTCTGCTCAAGTACCGCGAGCAGCTTTACAATGCCAAGCGCAAGGCGAAGAAGTATGCCATGGCATAGCAACAAATAAAGACGATATCTAATAATATTCTTTGTTCCAGCCGCTCTCGCAACGAGGTAATGATGATTCTACGCCGCAATCCCAACTTTGATCTGGAAGTGCTGCGCCGTAAGTTCCCCGATGTGGATATCGACAAACTACGCAGTGCGGATAAGGCCCGAGGACACTATGTGCCGAAGGTTGGCGTCTAACTTTGCAGCATTTTTAGTTATTTAGTCATTAAATCGAAAAAATACTGTGTAAATTGAACATCTTAATTTTAATCTTCGTCAAACTTAATTTTAGTTCCCTGGAAGGCGGCAATTTTTGGTTTCCACTTTTGTTTGGCAATCCAAGAGGGATGCATGCCTTCCATGGAAGTGGGAGCGGATGCAGGAGCAGGAGCAGGATGATGCTTAAAAGCTGGAATATCAATTTCTGCGGCTTGCCCGTCGTCGCCAAACTTGATCTTTTTCCCCTTAAAGTGCCCGATAACTGGCTTCTGTTGCTGCTTGGCTATCCAGGATGGATGGAGGTCCTCTGTGGGTTTCTTTTTATTGATCTCCGGCCTCCGCTCCCTTTCCCCCCGGTTGTCGCTATGTCGGTGTTCGTTCCGCTGGCGCTTGGCAGGATAAGGCATCGTTTCTTGCTCGTTTTCGCTTTCATTATCCTCTGAAAGAACCACAGCGGTGGATAAATACGGCTGACCAGATTCTGTGATAAAAAATGGATCTATGACATGCGTTGGACGATCTTTCTCAGCCGTGGTCTCCTCCTTTTCAATGCTCGGCTCCTTCTCTTGTGGTCGCTTTCGTGTCCTTTCTTTGACATCAATAGGTTTCGGACTAATTTCGGGCTTCCTATCCTTTTGCTGTTGCTTCTTTTCTCGTACCTTTGACTTTTCCTCTTCTTTGACATCAATGGGTTTGGGTTTAATTTCGGGCTTCTTTTCATTTTGCGTTTGCTTCTTTTCTCGAAGCTCTTTCTTCACCGAGGCCACTTTAGGAGTACGCTGAAGCTTTTCTTGTTTCGGTTTCTTCTCTTCCGCTGTTTCCACCTCACCAACCGCTGGCTCTGCCGCTGGCAATACATCTGTTCCAGCCACGTCTCTATCCACTTTGTTCTGCTCCAACCATTCTAGTCGGTTGCGCGTCTGGGCCTTCTGGTCTTTGAGTTCCTTGCGTTGTCTTTTCTTCGCCTCAGTGCGCTGCAGCTTCACGCGTCTCTTGCTCGTTTCCAGAATCTCTTCACGCCACTTGGAATCCTTGTCACTGTCCAGGCCCAAAGTCTGGCGAAATGTGTCAACCAGCGCTTTCATCAGTTTGTTGAGCCCCAGCATCGCAAGAACAACCTCATCTGGAGTGGACCGGCCATTGGTGAGCACTGCGTTCGGATTTTTACCATCCTGTAGGAGCAGCTGGCGCATTATGTCCAGACTCTTCAAAGCCTTTAGCTGGGCCACGCATTCGCTGCTTTTGCGCAAGCGTTCCTTGTGTTTCTCATCGTCCGGTCGTTTGGCCAGGACATCTTTGACCTTCCTCAGCTTCTGAACGAGCTTGGACACCGTTTGCGCACGTGCTTGCTGGATGACTTTCTTGTTGGTAATTACCTGTGTGTACGAACGGAGTAGTTACTATAAATAATACGTCTTTTTTCATTTATTTACCAAATTATTGAATTTCAGTTTATCAAGCATGGTGCTGCAGCCTGGAGAAACATTGAAGTTCCGCCTATCGCACCAAACTATCACATATGTTTTTATCGATATATTGATGCAATATATATTTAACATCCCTAGCCAAAATGGCGACATAGTGCTGAAGAAGAAGCAGCAGCTGCAGAAATAAGTTACGAATTTATTGTTTTCTTTTAGTGGTAAAAGTTTAAAAGTCGCGTAATTGCCCGTAGTTGCGTTAAACCGTAAATTGTGACCCCGAAACGTGCCAAGTGAATGCGCTGCGCGGTTCCGCGACCGAAACTCGACAGACGCAAAGAAGAAAAACAAGGAGGAGCTAATAGAGAAGGCAGCAACAAAGAAGGTCTGCATTTGTGCAGCCCCGGCAGGAAAAAATCAGAACAACAACGTTCACAGCAATGTTCTGCATTAATTGACTGCTTTTTAATTAATAAAATTGTGCAGTTCTCATCAATATTCCAAATCGTGACTATTCCGATGCTCGGACGCATGAAAATTAATATCCATAAAGAACCTGAGGGCTGCAACGCGCTTGAGTCATTGATCTCTTTTATTGTGTCTGTGTGCATACTCTACCTACAGTGGCCGACAACAGTCTGCGTGCGACCCCTTGTTTTCAATTTCATGTCTCCTGTCCTGTCCTGTCCTGTCAATAGATGATTTTAATTACAAATATACATTAGCAATTATTTAGGTATACACATGCATGTACATATGTATGTATGTATGTAGGTATGATGGGTAAAAATCTGATATCACCGAATGTGAACTTATAGCCTTTCTTTATTTTCTTTTCTTGTGATAATTTTTTGAAGTTGGCATCTGTAACCTTTTTCTCTCCAAAAAGGGGTCGTGCGCACAAATTTGTCCGCCACTGTATGCATCTGTGGTAGAATAATATGGAAGCCAAGCGGATTCAGTCTTGCATTAATTTGTGCCTAATTATGCGTTTAATTTATTTTAATCATTTTTAATTATTAATTTACTTTACTTGCAGCCCTGCGGAGACATAGATATCCAGACACCACACGCACCCCGAAAGACTGCAGCTGCGGGTTTTTTGTACCAGCGCATTACGTTGATCGCTAGACACAACGGCTAATCAAAAGCGGAATACAAATGACGGAATACAAATTGGTTGTTGTTGGTGCGGGAGGCGTTGGCAAATCGGCGTTGACCATCCAACTAATTCAGAATCATTTTGTTGACGAATACGATCCCACAATCGAGGACTCGTACCGAAAGCAAGTGGTCATTGGTGAGTTTTTTCACTCGCTGCGGAGTTTGACATGTTCTCTGATGGTTATGATTTGGCAGATGGAGAAACCTGCCTTCTGGACATCTTGGATACCGCTGGACAGGAGGAGTACTCGGCTATGCGGGATCAGTATATGCGCACGGGCGAGGGCTTCCTGTTAGTCTTTGCCGTAAATAGTGCAAAATCCTTTGAAGACATCGGCACATACCGCGAGCAGATCAAACGAGTCAAGGATGCCGAGGAGGTGCCAATGGTGCTAGTGGGCAATAAGTGTGACTTGACCACGTGGAACGTTAAAAACGAACAGGCAAGAGAGGTGAGTGGTGGTCAGTCGAGTAGCTCGTAACTCGCATCGTTGGATAGATCATTTTTAAATACTCTTTTTTTTTTACTCTCAAGGTGGCCAAACAATACGGCATTCCATACATTGAGACATCAGCCAAGACGCGCATGGGCGTTGATGATGCATTTTACACACTCGTGCGCGAGATCCGAAAGGACAAGGACAACAAGGGGCGAAGGGGTCGTAAACTTAATAAGCCGAATCGTAGATTTAAATGTAAAATTCTCTAAACGGGCTTGCAGTGGTTTATTAACTTTTTATTTTGTTCAATGTCGCCTGTTGTCTGTCTGTCTGTCTGTCTGTATGTATTCAGTGCTGTTTTCGTTGGGCAATCGTGTCATTGATCGTGACAGGATTGTGGATCCCCCGCGAATGCACGCGGAATAAAAGCACGCACACAGAACGAAAGCACACACATTTGTATGGGAGCGAGTTAGTCGGTGCAATTGTCAGATGAAGAGAAGAATTGTAATTAATTTAAGTAACTAGAGTTTTATGTACGGAGAAATGATTTTTGTGAATGTGTGTGTTTTGTGTCGTTTGAAAGGCTGCGTGGCGCCCTTTTAAGAGTATTAACAATAACGAAAATGAAAACGAAGGAAAGCGAAACGAAATGAAATGAATATGTACCTCTCTACATATAACTATGAATACTGTTGTAACTGCCTTGGTTCAGCTGCTTTAACCATTTGTTTTCAATCACCACCAACCACTAAACTGGAGTCAATGTCGTTTGTATTTTACCGTAGAGGAGACGGAGAATCTGATCTGTGCTAAACTCCGATACATATACCGCTATGCATGCAAGACTAGTTCTAATTACTCTAATTCCTTGAGCTCTGTTGTAAATGGTTTGTTTTAATGCGTTTTTAGCGTAGCCCGTCTTCTGATTCAAATTTTCTCACACGTATACGCACGAACAGAATTCCATTAGTATTTTTCACTAGTAAAGAACAAACAAAACATATGAAACGAACGGCAAAGTAATTTTCGCACAAACGAGCCGGTTTGCTTGTCTATGCTGCCCAAACTAAATAAATTTATGTTCATTAAACACAATCAATTGTTGTGGTGCTATAACGCAAAACATTTTATTCGTATGAGTTGTTCATAGAAAGCCTTTCTTTCTACCTACCTTATTGACAGATCAATCAGAGAGAAAACAAGCAGCCAATTAAATTTACATTATATAGTTTGCTTTAAGCTTTTTATACATACATTTAATATTTAATTTTTTTGTATTAATTTTTGCCATACAAAAAGGAACGAAATAAAACGATTGTGTGTACTATTTAAACCGAAAAATAGTTTTGTTTTTTTCTGCTTTTTAAACGCTGAAATATATTTATATGACAAACCTGCATATATTTGAATGAATGAACCGGTATATATCTACCACATTGTCTAGATATGTCCAAATTAAATCATCGAAAATTAATAATAAATCGAATGAAACAGATTCAAAGTTCAAATAATAATGGATAATAATTCAATGGTATACCTTTCGGATTTCGGATTTCATGTAGGAAAGTTATTTACTGATCGGGTAAAATTATTGTTCAGGTATGGAAGTCCTAGCTTGCTAGTAATATCAAAATCGAGGAAAATGGTTTCCAATCCTTGAAAAAGAACGATTATACGAACGAACCTATTATAAGCCAAGGGAGTATTTAAACTTTCCACCAAAAATTAATTAATTTAATTGCAGTTCAGGTGAAAGATATCGTGTTTCTTAAGTTTTAAGATTTCATGGATCTACAAGTTCACAAGCAGAAATATTTTCCACCATTTACCTCAAGTCGTTGAACTGTTTAAATAGAGGGGGCTTAAGTGGGCTAAGTTCGGTTTTTCATCGCTATATTTTCGATATATGCCGACACGGTATATCGGTATTCTTGATTGATAGTTCCGTGGCCATATCACATCAGTGTTGCCATTTCAGCTTATTTTAAGTAGATTTGGCTTATTTTAAAACCAAATGGCTTGAAAACTAATTGAAATGCTTATAGCTTGAAATCTAGCTTATTTCAAATTTCATTTAGCTTATTTTGGCTTAAATAAATGTGGTACACTTATTGTTTTTTGATTTTATTGTAATATTTTTTAATATTTATTAAGAAATAGGACAAAAATCATATTTGTTGTTGCTATTTTGGTATGTTATCCAATTTTGTGTATAAATGTGAAGTACATATGTATATATTCGTTGATAAGTTTCAGTCACACTATAGTATTGCACATGTTTGCACATTTATATATAAAATATTATTAAGGAGTGGAAAGTTTAAGAAAGAATAATAATTGAAAACAAAATATCAATCAAATTCAATAGTTCATTATTTTGATGTGTTTTTGTATGGTTAGCTTTTTTTTAAGTTTTAGCTTATTCTAGCTTATTTTTTTCTTCAATCTAGCTGATGGTGACTCTCAACATCTGGCAGCACTGTATCACATCACTAGCGCCACTTTTTGCAAAAAGAACCCCAGGAAAGTGTGCGTTTATTGATAAATTGTTGGCGTTCGATATAGCCAAATACTTGATTTAATAACTTGAACAAAGGAAGCAGCGTTTCGTTCGTGTTCCTGCAGAAAAATCATCAAAAAGGTAAATTATGTAAACAATATGCAAAGCAAATCCAATGGAGTCGGTCGCCATTTTGTTTTTCCTGACGCCGCTGCAGAAAAAATGTTCTGTACATGACGAAAAGTAAATGGTTTGTTAAATTTGCAGTCCCACAACCATGAATATGGATGCGAACAATGCAGTGGAGAATCGGGAGAAGGAGCGCGACCGTCGCGGCCGTGGCGCCCGAGGATCTCGGTTCTCTGATGCCGATGGAAATGGAAATGCCGGTGGCGGCGGTAATATTGGCGGCGGGGGTGGAGGTGGTGGCGGCAACATGGTCCGAGACAGAAGCCGTGAACGGCGCAATTGTCGAGTCTACATCTCGAACATTCCCTACGACTATCGGTGGCAAGACCTGAAAGATCTGTTCCGACGCATCGTCGGCTCCATTGAGTACGTGCAGCTGTTCCACGACGAGAGCGGCAAGGCACGCGGCTGTGGCATTGTCGAGTTCAAAGACCCCGAAAACGTGCAAAAAGCCATGGAAAAGATGAATCGATATGAGGTCAACGGCCGTGAGTTAGTCGTCAAGGAGGATCATGGCGAGCAGCGCGATCAATACGGAAGGATTGTCCGTGATGGCGCCGGCGGTGGCGGTGGAAATGTCGGCGGCGGCGGAGGAGGTGGCAACAACGGCGGTGGCGGAGGAGGCGGCGGCAGTGGTCGCGACCACATGGACGACCGGGACCGCGGCGGCTTCTCCAGACGCGACGATGACAGATTGTGAGTACTTTATGTGTTCGTCTATCTCTATTGTTTTTCTCGATGTTCTAAGCAGGAAAGCAAGGTTCGTAGCACGCAAAAAGTATTGAATCCTTACACACTTCTCAATCGGCAGTCGTTTCTATGAAGGCAAATCAATCGAATCGTATCAATCTGCAGAAGCGGTTTTTGTATCCACCCACGAGTACGAGTACACGGATACTTCGCATACTTGTCGAGCGTAGGCTCTAGGAAGAACTCTCATCATTTATTTATCTGCCATACAATTCCAAAAACTGTACACTAGGATCTTTAAAATACCAAATACTCTTAAAATACCTGCCACGAATTGAAAAACTTATCATTAAAAGGATTTTCGGATTTGTCGAGCGTAGGTTGTAGGCTCTTTTACTTACCATAAACGTACGAGTATCTGCTATGAATATTCCATTCCCATATTTTTGTCCAGCTTAGGCTATAGAATATATTACCTACTGTTGAAAGGATTCCGAACTGAAAAACGTATGTCATAGGGTTCCATGAACAGTTGTACATTTAAAGGATTTGTGTCGGATATCTGTCGAGCGTAGGCTGGTAGATCTTTTACCTTTCGTTATTGCAGCAGTTCCGCAGGGAAATATTTTTCTATTTCTAGTCGAAGTAAGAGTACAGATAGTCTTCTATTGCAAGAGCTACCGTATAATCATATTTATATGTAGACTAGGATGATGGCAAGTCAATCGCAATCGCATTTTTGCGCGTGAAAAGAGAAGTTAATTTTCCAGTAGAAGAACTTTTATATTATGAATGGGCTACTACCAGAGACTTTATTCAAATAGGATCTGCAGTTGACTTTGTATTTGTCCTATATTGCTATGGGTTTTGAAGTAGCATAACTTTTTGATCGAGAATTTATTTCCGGCTCGCACTACTGTGAAGAAATATCAGAAAGGCACTTTCTAATATATGCTACCTATGGAACATGGTCTCGTCAGGCTCGGCATGTAAATATTCTGTTAGGTAGTGTGGGACGGAGGAGGAAGGAAATACACGTTTAAGGAGGAGACTGCGACTGCGACTCCGACTCGTCTCGTCATCGGTATCGGAATCAAAATCTTCTTCTCAGCTGAAATTTGTATTTCGAAGATAGACAACATTTACATCAGTGCATAATTATTTTCCATCACTTGCAAAGCTGCTATTATGTATATCAACTAAGGAATTGTGTGTGATGCGGTGCGATGTTTGATAGAAGAATGGGAAGGAAGGTAACAAACCACTTTTACACGTCTGCAATCGTGCCGGCTTTCTTGGCATCTCTCTCATTCTGTCGTAGCTGAAGCTTATCCTTGCTATCCTTTTGTTATTTTTCTCTCTGGATCTTTGGCTTCTTTTTCTAGATCTGGGCGTAATAATTTTAACATGATGTCAAATGATTATAATAATTCGTCGAATTACAATTTGTATGGGCTTTCTGCTTCGTTTTTGGAGAGTCTGGGCATAAGTGGACCTTTGCATAATAAGGTTTTTGTTGCTAATGTGAGTATATAGTAATTTTAATTTCCAATAATTCCAATATGTATTCTGTATTCGACCTGTACCCGAACCGAACCGCACGGCAAAAGATGTGCGGAGTGTGCTCTGCTGTGCATATGGAAGTTTCTTATGGGGTCTCGTCTGTTTCGTATTTATAACCCACCCAAGCATAGGCCATATTTTTGGGGCTCTGTTTATTTTTCCTGCCCCTCGTACTGCTGATCTATAAACTGAAGAATAACTGAAGACTGCAACCCTTTAATCCCTTTAATTTTGATCACGAGCATCCCCCGAATGCGGGTTTGGGAATGATTTACTTTCTAAACTGCCGAAGAAATAGTTGTTCTGGATCATGTTTGCGCATAGAGTATTGGATAAAACATAGATTATTGGACAATGTCTAATAATATAAGGAGCTTCATTCGTACTTTGGTGTCTAAAAAAATTCAATTAAAAAAATAAGAGAGTAATTTCGAGATTCTCCTTACCCTCCAAAAGAGCAACGGCATTGCTGTCTCCAACAAATTTCGTGTTTCCAAATCAATATTTAAAGATTTGTTTTAAAATTATTGGGCTTTTCAAACAACCTCTGTCCTCTGTCATTATTCAATAGACAGAAAGGTAATGGTGTGTCCTTCGCGTGTCCTATTTCCTATTCCGTCATTTTGTTCATCAAATGGGTTATAAATATGAAGCAGTTGCGGTTCGTACGGCAGTTCAAACGTCGACTTCTTCGTCTTGGGCTATCGACTATTTTGCTTTCAGTCAACTGGAATCAAGGCTGGAATGATTCAGTGTGTCCCTGGCCCTGATCCTGCTCCTGCTCCTGATATTGTTATCTTTTCGCAGCAAAGCTTCTGGTCTTCAAGGTCGGCTTTTGATACGATTTCAGGGGCCGAAGATACATGTATATGTAGATTGCACGTGACTAATTTGTTTCAAACACTCTCTTCAGCTGGACTACAAGGTGGATAACAAGAAGCTCAAGCAGGTGTTCAAGCTGGCCGGCAAAGTGCAGAGCGTGGATCTGTCCCTGGACAAGGAGGGCAATAGTCGCGGCTTTGCTGTGATCGAATACGATCATCCCGTGGAGGCAGTGCAGGCCATTTCCATGCTGGATCGTCAGATGCTCTTCGATAGACGCATGACCGTTCGTCTGGATCGTATTCCGGACAAGGGTGAGGGTGTCAAACTGCCCGAGGGACTGGGCGGTGTGGGCATTGGCCTAGGTCCGAACGGTGAGCCACTGAAGGACGTGGCTCACAATCTGCCCAACGGCGGAAACCAAGGCCAGGGCCAGCTGTTGGGAAATGTTCAGCAAGGCGGACAGCTGGGCTCTGTGGCTGCTGGCCAGGGAGGCGGTGGCGTTAGCAATGCCAGCAATCTGCTGGGTAGCCTGACGGGAGTGATGTTCGGCAACAATGCCTCGTCCATCCAGCCCTCCCCTGTGGCCCCAGTGCAGAAGCCCAATCTGGGCAATAACTCGGGCGCCGGCGGGCTGAACTTGAACAATCTGAACCCCAGCCTTCTGGCCGCTGTGGTCGGCAATCTGGGAAACCAAGGTGGCAGCCTATCCAATCCTCTGCTCACTTCATCCCTCAACAACTTGGGCCTCAGCCTGGGCAACTCTGGCGGCAATGATGATCCCATTTCTTCGGGCAACGTGGGTCTTTCCAATAACTACAGTAGCGGCGGCACTGGAGGTGGCAATAACTACAGCTCTGGCGGAAACAATCCCTACAGTGGCGGCGGAGTTTCCGGCGGGAACGTTGGATATAATGCCTACAGCAGCTCTGGGGGTGTTGGCGGCGGCAATGGAGGAGGCGGCTTGGGCAACCAGCAGGACGGCAACGACTACAATTCTGGCAACAATCTGGACATTTTTGGCGGCGGTAGCAATGTGGGCAATGCCAATTCTGGTGCTGGCAACGCAGGGGCTGGCTCTCGCAAATCGGACACGATTATCATTAAGAATGTGCCCATGAGCTGCACCTGGCAGACGCTGCGCGACAAGTTCCGTGAGATTGGGGATGTCAAGTTTGCCGAAATACGTGGAAATGATGTGGGTGTTGTGCGATTCTTCAAAGAGCGCGATGCCGAGTTGGCTATAGGTAAGTCTTTTGCAATTATGGACTGAAAGTGCAGCTGAACTAATTGTGGATTCTTACACCCTGTTCCCCCTTTGCAGCGCTCATGGATGGCTCTCGTCTGGATGGTCGCAACATTAAAGTAACGTACTTTTAAGTTAGCGGTTTAAGTTTAAAGTGTATTTACTCTGTAATAGTTAAGCGAAAAAACATGAAAATGAACCACAGCCGCCGAACGCCGCATTGTTTGATGACCAATGAACGGACTTTCTTTATTCCACAAGCAATACAGCCATGCAGCCATACAACCATATGTATGTGAGGCACAGACACAGACACAGAAGAGTTCATCCCATATACATTTTATTCTCGTATAACTTTTATATATATATAAATTCATATTATTATGTACTCTAATATTAAAAAAATAACTGACGTTCCAAAACCACAGCCCACAAATCCGAAGACGCAATTCTAATGTTATTTCTAAGCGATTGAATTACAGCCAATAAAACAATGCAAAATCCCATTGTTAAACATTGTTCACGTTCAAGTTAACAATTTGTGGAGTACGAATGTTAGTTGAAATGTTTTATTATACTCAAGGAAGTAAGGATTGGATTTTACAAGTTATTGATCTCGGAGCCTTCAGATATTTAAGCCCTCGTCTTCAGGCATGGCTCTGTCTCTCTCAACGAGTCCTTAAGGGCAGTAAAGGCATGGTTTCCATGACACTGTCACTGCTCTTTCCCCCACCGCTCGGTAAGTACAGTTTACACCCGGAAAAAAAAATAATCCCACCATCGTAGTCGCATCCCCAGATATTGAACATTTCAGATGCTCTACGACTATAGCACTATTGATCCTGTCCGTCTGAAGTCTCTTAAAGCGTTTTTATACTCTAGTAAAATACATTTGTATAGTCGCATAACAAGATTAGGTTTGCGGTGGGGTAACATTTTGTGGAATAGTAATGTTGAAATGTTATCTTTTTATTTATAATGGTTTCTTAATCTCTACAAGCATGAGTGACTTGAATGGTCATACTATAAGACTGTCTACAGGGTTTCGGTCCATGAGGATTCCATCGCTTGTGTAAATGGGAAAGGTATACGACGTTCCTACTTTGGGGTAGCGGCTGCCGGCGCAGTCTTGAAACGTTCCAAGCGTGCGCGCGCCTTCTCAGAGTAAATGGCCTTTGACTCTGGCGTAGCAGCAGCAGTAGCTGGAGTCGAAGAAGCCTCAACTGCTGTACCAAAACGCTCCTTGCGCTTCAGCAGGCGCTCGTCGGCCAGTGTCTTTGTGGTCTTCTCGGGAACCACACAGCCAAAGCGTTCGGCGCGACGCTTAAGAGCTTCCTTTTGCTTTTCGTCTGTTTCCTTGTTTCCTTTATTAGCCACAATTGATGCGCTCGAGGACTTGTTAATTGCAGTTGCAATAGACGCAGTTGCGATAGTGGGGGTGATGCCGAATTTCTTGGCCCGGAGGTTCAAACGTTCTTCTGCGGTTAGTTCAGTGAGCTTCTTGTCCGCGGACTTTTCGCCTTCCTTGCTTCCTCCAACTACAATGGGGATGCGTTTGGTTTTGGTTGGAGTTTCCTCTGGCGTATCCTTATTAGCTGTGGGAGCCCCGTTCTCCTTGGATGCAATGGTGGGCGTCGTTGTACAGCCTGCTGTTGTCGATGCCAGCTGAGAGTTATTTCTTTTGAGCACAATCTTTTTGGCAGGCAGGGCTGCTGCTGCAATCGTTTTCTCGTTGAGGGCGCTGTGTTCATCCAACAGCAAATCGGGTACTATTGCAGCTGTCGGCGTGCCCACCGGGCTCTTGAGTAGCTCATCGTCATCGTGCTCGTCCCCAAGCAGCTTGTCTTCATCATCGTCGGCCAGGGAAACGTCATCATCGTCTATGGCATCTGCTATGGCGCTGTCTTCAAGCGAGATATCACCCTCCAACAGAGCCGTCTGCAAGCGATCCTGCAATTCATTTTTGTTTCCATTAACAGGCAGCCCACGCATTTTCAGCTCGCGCTTCAAATCAGCAACCTTAGGGACGCAAGCAATTAGTCGAATTTTGTAATGCTTATGCTGGTCAACTCACCTTCATTTTGGTAACGTCGCTTTCCGGCATTTTTCGCTGTTTTTTGTTTTATAAATTTTATTATTAACTTTTTGCTATTGACAAATGTGAATTAGAGAACTAGCGATGGCACTATCGGCACTATCGATGGTGCCAACTGTCGATTCTTGTTCAAATCGTCTCTGATAAGAGGACTCGCCTTGAGGAACAGAATATTAATATGTTCCTTTTCTTAAATAAGAATTTTTGGCTTATAAAGAAATAATATAAGTGTTGCTTAAAACAAATAATTGAATTTTAAACAAATTTCTTCAAATTCAATTATTTCAATAGACTATCGATGTTTTTTCTAAAAACTATCGTCTACTATCGATGGTGCCAACTATAGATACCGAATATACCGAAATAAGACGCTATATTTTTTAAATATACCGTAAATATACTGACTGGATAATCGATGAAGCTGCGCGCCAAAGTCGAATTGTGTGAAAGTGAATGAGAGTCAAGTGATTTTGAGTGGGAAACACTTCCTGCGACTGTGCAGACACGTGTGATTGCGCATGGCATGGATGATCGCCAGTACACAAATCCCTACAACGCGGTAATGTTGATCTCCTGCAAGATAAACATGGGTCCAGAGGATCGCCATACTCGTTGCTAACTTGTCCTAAGTTGGCCAAGAGGCAGACCTTTTTGCTATTTGCCAGCGAAGAAATTAAAAAAGGATACGGTGTGCTCAGTATCTGTTAATCCGCCTTACCTAGTAAATATAATGCGCGATCGGGTCAAAGTCCACGGCACGGATATTCTTGACGGAAAGCGGCTGCCTTTCGTATTCTAAAATGTTCATAGGCGTGAAATAAACTAACAAAATATCAAAAATGTAATTATTCAATCAGCTTTAATAGTGTCATATCAGCCAGATTTGAGCAGTGTCATATCAGTCAGCTTTATTAGTGTCACAGCTGTCAGCTTTATTAGTTTCATAGCTTCTGACCCTTAAGTCAATGCTAACACTGAAGGCGCCAATTTGAAACGCCAATTTGACAATAAATAAACAATCGTATCTCACATTTTGTTAGATTCGCATATCAACTAGCCAGAACTGAAAGGCTTTATTCCAGAACACTCGTATAACTTTGTACTGTGGATTGTTATTGGATCTCATAATATTTGTTTTTGTCACTTCAATTTCGGTCGCCCTCCCCCTCATGTTCTCGCCGATGCGGACGGAGACGGATCCCGTAGATAAGATATAATATATGAGTGCCGTTCAGAAATAGCACCCGTACACCCTACACTCCACCCATCGCCCGAGCAAACGCAAGCCCCGACCGGAAACGGGAAATGGAAACGCAATGCAATATTATCTTTTGTCGCCTGTTTCTGATGCTATTCTTAATCCCTGTCCGTCCCTTCAGCGAATCGGATTCGTTGTGTCTGGCGCTGAAAACACTGGTGCATGGCCTTGAGAACAGTGCAGTTTTCTCGCTTACATCAATTCAACGTTCGGCAAGTGCTCCTAGTAGCTGCACCTGCTGGCTCTCCTTTAGGTACGCCTACCCATTGCTCCTTTTTTCGTCTCTCTTGGTATTTCCATCCCCACGCTCCCTGTTTCTCCGTCGCAACTGCACACATGGCATGGTTGCAACATGCTCAGATTCAGAGGCAGATGCTGGCGTAAGTAAGTTCGAGTGGCTGTACCTAATTGGCACTGCTGCACATTCATATTTATTAATAATTTTCCGGCACTTCTGTTTGCTCTGACCGCCAGGCTTGGAGGTCGCAGCCTTTGTCACTTAACCCTCGTGCCTCCAAAGAGTGGCACGGCCAGTGCAGTGGTAGTTCTAATTAATGTAATGCTTGAACTCATTTGCCGCCGTTCCACATAATAAACGCCACGCCACTCTTTTGGTCATACTCGTGGACGGACAAGCCAAGTATGGTGTTCTTGGCTTTAATTACAGTTACAGCCGCCCGTCACAAAGCTTTGGGCACACACGCACTCGCTGGACAGTGGCGTTGGTTAATGGCTTATGACAGATATTTGAATTTGGGCTTGGACAGAGCCAAGCAGAGGGATTACGCAAGCGGATTTACTCTGTTCTGTCTGGTTCTCTGCAAAGATACTCGTACATTTCGTTCCTTCAAACATTTTAGACCCTTTTACAAAGCAGTTGATCCTGCGTAAAGAGAAGTTCAGTTCCTTTCCTTCCTTTCCATCGATCCTCACTACGGTGGCAGAGGCATTTTTGCAAAGTATCTGAACTCTGTTCTGGGTGTAAACAATGACTAATTGATAAGTGCAATCGGCTGATAAACTCTTATTTCCAGTAACACTACTCTCACTCTCTCTCTCTCTCACTCTCTATCTTTCTCTCAGCACTTCTTAGAAGCCCGCCCACAACCAACAAAAAAGAGGAACGACTCTGGGCTTACTTATCAGACCTACAGCATACAGTTCGCTGCCGCTCTGGCCAGCTGATAAAGCGAAAGAAAGCCCCGCACGAAACAGAGGCAGGCAGTCCAGAGCCAGAGCTAGAGAGCCGAGCCGAGCCGAGCCAATGAAGCAACTGGTTCTCTCTATTTGTGGCGTCGTATCCGTCCGATACAAAAATTGCTGCCTCTCAGATGCCTTGCGACTGCACGAGTGATCGGTTGTGTTGTGGTTTTGTGTACGTTGATTTTTCCGCTCTCGTTCGCGCCGCTGTTTGTACGCCTAACCTGCAGCTCCTCCGCCCGTTGGCTGCGATCAGTTCGGACGTCATCGCCAGACGTGTCGCTCGATTGATTATTGCAAAAAGAAAAGCTTCGAGTACGTCGTATCTATAAGTACGTGTCTGTGCAAAGTTATACGCATGTGAAATCAAGTTCACTTTAGATGCAGCTTGGCCAAAAACAAAGTTTACATCATTCGATATTCGAAATCAACAGCCTTCGACCTTGCGTGCTTTTGTGTGCTGTTCTGTGCTCTTTGTGCTCTCTGTGCCTGTGTGGCTATATTTTGTGTAAACATTGTTAGCATAGATCAGTGGAATCAGTGGATGTGGATCCGTGGATAGCTGCTGGGGAAGACGGGCTCCTCCAACCTACCAGGGCCAGCGCCCGCACCCGTTCCCGAGAGGCTTTCGTGATCGTTTCTTTATCACCTGAGTCACTTTGTATGGCGCTCACGTCACAGCCAGCCCCCCCCCCCCCCCCCCCCCCCCCCAACGCCCCCGCCTCTGTCTGGTCTGGTCTGGTCTGTGCAGCTCTGGAATGTCTCTCTCTTCTCCGCTCTCCGCTCTTCCCAGCCGACTGTCTCTCTCGCTCTCTAGATCTGTGCGCCTTTATGGGTTCGTCCGTTACCATTTTTAGTTAACAAACAATTATATGGTTACACAGAGCCATTTAGAGGCCATTGCAGGAAACAAAATACGTGCCTCCACACCACCTACTCCACCACCCCCCACTCCCCACTTCCACAGGCCCATCCGCAGAGACACATCAAATCAGTAATCAATTTATTCCGACCTATGGCACAATAAATACTCCGTATTAACCTCAATTAATTTAGCTAATTGAGAGCGCGTGCCCTCGCAATCTGCCATTTGATTCTGTTCTGAATGCGTCGTTCTCTATGGTTCTCGCCTTCGACCAGGTAACAGTAACGGCAACAGAACGGTAACCATAGCCGTAGTTCTAGTTATCGCCGTTGCTCTTTCAAGTCCAATTCCCTATATATGCGCACTCACACCCATACGGATCTAGTATCTTATCTAATCAGTTTATTAAATACGAAAACACAGCGAGAAACCATAAAAGAACCCACACACACACACAATTCCTCATTTATTTTTGCGAAAAAAAGAGGAAGACCGCTCCGCTACCACAGCTAAACTTTTGTGCACTAGTAGGGGTAGAGATTGGGTGGATAGCTTTGGAGCACCAATAAAATCTAGTTTTAGAAGTGCAGATTGTGCTTGGCCTAATGAAAGCACTTCAGACTTTCTCCTGCACTGGATTGGCTTGGCCTCTATCCTCAGCTATTTAGCTCCTAAAGAATAGTTTCGCCTGTCTCTGATACGTCAAATATGACTACTCTTATTCTCAGTTAATCCAAGAAAGATAAGGTAAAATTATAAAAATTGTGATATTGACTAATCCCGGTTGGAGATTATGGAGTTGTGAGTAATATATTGACTAACTCGCTGTTGGAAAACTGTTTATTTATGGATGCTGTATATGGGAAAGGGGAACGGAACGATGCACCCATTTACTGAGACTCACAAGCAAGGCGCTGATAAGGCGCAGTCCACAAAGGACTGAAGTGAACCGAGCTGAACCAGACTGGCAATTGCACATGAGTCTGCTCTATAGTGGACATTAAGTGTCGTTTAAGTCAAATAAAAGCTTCAAGACCTCCTCCTCCTCCTCCCCTTCATCATCATGTGCAATGTCAGTGGTCTGGCCAACGAAAGACTGCAGCTAGAGTGTGAAATGTTGCAAGTGTTCCAAGAACACTCCAACAACAACAAATACGTAACTTGATATGTAAAGTAAAGTTTACAAGAGGCCAACCCCACTGAACAGAACAGATAACAAAGCGACGGATCGGAGAATATTGTATATGAGTTATAATACACTCCCTCCATACAATACACTCTTTATATTGTATACAAGGGTATTACAAAAAGAGCTCAATTATGTTTAAATAATTTATTATGAGTATTAATTACAATGCAAGCAATGGAGCGGCTTCCCGGCTTCCCGGCTTGATAAACAGTTTCCGTTTATTTTCGGCTCTATGGGAGATATGTATGTATGTGGCATGGTACTTGGATTATTTATAGGGCGTATTGAAGTTCTCTGGAGGAGTTTAACCTGCACTTTCCATCCATTCCCGTTGGCTGTTCTCACACCTGTTCTCTTATCCGAAAGCTATCGGAAACTGTATTGGGAATGTTCCACTCATTCAGAAGTTTTCGGCGGTATTGCTTAATCAGCTGGTTGTATAAATAGCAAAGCATATGTATGCCTGAGTAGCATTGGGACTTAATTATTTGCACGCTCTTGTAGTCACTAAAACAGCTCCCAAAAGCTGTTCTGTTTGTTTATAATAATTTAAAATGCGTCCAAAAAAAGAGCCAAAAACAAGAGGCTAGGTTTGCTGTTTATTTAGTTTCGTTCCGGCTCTCGGCCCCAAGTTTGTTGTTTTGTGATTTTTGGTAGTGCCGTGGCCTCCACCTAATGGCCAATTGTTCGGACGCAGTTTGTTTAGATTTTTGAGCGAAAAAAAACCTGTTTCTATTTGTGGATTGCTGTTGCTATTTTTCAGGCACGAACTCGTCCGATTTACTGTTGGTAACGTCATTCAATCAAACTTATGCACATTAGGGCATATTTGGATTCAAATTTCCATCAATCGAAAATATATCAAACTTTATCGTTCATTGAAACATACATATTTTCCAAAGGCTAATGCAATAGAAACACAGCACTTAACCTTAACCGCAAATGAAGATCCCCCTCCATCAATGATTAGACTTAATTGTGCGGACCCCGAGCATCAAAGTGCTCCCAGTCAAAGTTCAGACTCTGTAGATCGCGTGCCAATAGCAAGAGTACATCGCATTTAACCCCAAGTTTGTGAAGCACAGAAAATGGATCTGAATAACTAAGTATACTTATATAGATATATCTTCCCCGACACTGATCAACCGATCGGTTTGAGTGCTCAAGTTTTCGAATCGAATGGGCTAAAGTTCAAATGAAATCATTCGGGTCGAACGGTAACATGTTGATGAATGTCACAACGGAACCGGTTCGGTTCTGTTGTTTTCCTCTTTGTTGTATCAGCTGTGCTGAGGCAGGCTGCTGGCTTTCATGTGTGGGCTGGTCTTCCACCTTTCCGTGGGATGAGTCACTACTAGAATCTGAGGAACAGCAAGGCAAGTGTGGTCTAGGCCTTCTATTAGAAGCTCCACATTGAATGTGTGTAATTATATTCGGTTTGCATTGTCCGAGATTCCATCCCAGTGACAGGGATGAGTCATATACCTACAAGATAAATAATTCCCGGAATTCCGATGAGTTTTCTGCGTACGGAGAGACCGCAAGATTCCCCAAGCCCAGGTTCAGGCCCCGGCCCAGCCCCCCCAGCCCCTGGCAGCCTGGAGTGCATACATACGATATGTAAATTGGCCAAAAGTCTTTTGATTTCGGTGTTATTTATACGGAGTATCTGTTTTGTTTTGTTTGGAGGCTGGTGGGGAAATCTAGTTTATGTTTTGGGTCAACTGGAAACGGAAAAAACCAGTTTTAATTAAAAAGAAAAATTTATGAAACGAATGTTGGTTGTTTGCTTGTTAGTGGTAGTGTTTTTGTGGCTTGACAGATGGTGAAAGTCTATTAGGTTTAGCTGAGCTTTTATTTAATTGTTATATAAGCCCGAACCACCATAAAAGTGAACCTATTTCCATTATGGAATCAACATTCGCAGAATCAATTGCGGCTGATGGAATTGGAATCCAGACCAGACCTCGATTGCCGTCGTAAAAGCTCAAATTGCTGTCCCATTCTGGCCTTCGCTACATTTTTTGTCGTTGTGTGGCCTTTTTTTTTTAGCTGTGCTGTCGATTAGATTAGAACAATTTTGAAGTTCAAGTGTCTGTGGCGGTACCGAGAACTCTGCTACCATCAAGCAACCATCGGCCTTAGCAATGGAAAGAGTTGCATGTATGGATGATGGATGTATGGGGCAGGGCCAGAGATTTCCGGTTGCCACAGCCGCAGGATGAAAGCCGTGCACGCGGGTGTGGGTGTGTCAAGATAAACAAGCAGAATCAACATCTGCCACCAAATGGTGCAATATCGCAGACAGAACTGTCAAGCAAGCAACCCGCCTGACGCCTTTATTTTGCTTTCTTTGCAGTTTCTCAACAAAGACTTAATCCGGAATGACGTCGACGATGTCGAAGAGTCCGCGCCCTCTGAAAATTACCATCGTGGGCGATGGCATGGTCGGTAAAACCTGCATGCTGATAACCTACACGCAAAACGAATTTCCCGAGGAATATATTCCAACAGTGTTCGATAACCATGCCTGCAACATCTCAGTGGATGATCGGGAGTACAACCTAACGCTGTGGGACACGGCTGGGCAGGAGGACTACGAGAGACTTCGGCCGTTAAGCTATCCAAATGTGAGTTGTGGCTGCGGCTGCGTCGTAGGTGTTATGCAATTAAGCGGGGCTAATCAATTTCGATTCGTTTCGGGCTCGCTCTCACAGACGAACTGTTTCCTGTTGTGCTATTCGATCAGCAGTCGCACCTCTTTCGAGAACATCAAGAGCAAATGGTGGCCAGAGATTCGTCATTTCTCAAACAACGTGCCGGTGGTGCTGGTGGGCACTAAGCTGGACTTGCGCATACGGGACTCGGAGAAATTTGTCACCACACAGGAGGCGAAACGATTGCGTAAGGAGATCCATGCCTCCAACCTGGTCGAGTGCTCCGCCAAGAAGAAACAGAACTTGCAGCAGGTGTTCGAGGAGGCTGTCCGCGCCGTCGAAAAGAAGCCAAGGTCGTCACCCAAGCCATCCTGTACATTACTGTGAACTAAGTGTATGCTTAATGTTTAATATTGTTATTATACGTAATGTATTGTGTAACTAATTTGTCTGACTCTTTGTGCTTCGTTTTCCAAACTCTGTGTAGAAAATGTACCGTTAAGTTCATATTATTTAAGTGCTTGCTGTGTAAAAACAATCCATTTTCCGTGCGACCAAAGTGCATTTCTGTGTAAGAAAAACAAAATCAAAATCAAAACAAAAACAATATAAAATCAAAAACCAATATATATATATACCATAAAATATAAATAATTGAATTTAAATGCATATGAAATGCAACCCAAATCGTTATTGTACATATTCAATAAAAACCTAGTCATTAAAATCAGTTATTGGGTTCTAGTTTTCAAAAAGTCCCGCCAATCGAAATAGTTTCGCTGCCAGTCAGTCTTTTGTGTTTTTTCTTTCCTGCCCTGGAAAATAGTACGATAGTATTATCGATATTTCGGTATATAATGGGGACCTCCGCGAATGTACGCGTTTGATGTACAAAAGAGATAGAAAACAAAAATTTTAACTGGTTGTTTTAGGCGATTCGATAGAATCCAATTTTAGTTTTAAAGCGGAGGTAGCTGAACGCCAGAACCGAAGACCCTGGAATCTAATCAAGATATTTCGTTTGTGAAATGTATGAACCGGCACTTCTATGCATGGTTAGTGGTGTTAATTGAACATTATTTCAGACACAATCTAATAAAAGGGAGTCCCAGAGATTTGTCATGCTCCGTAGGTATCAGGATCGAGATAAATATATACAAGATACTAATAATATACATGAATATGTCTAAAACATGTCAATTTGAGAAAAGGTCTTTATAAATTACGTTGTTACTTCGTATAAAATAGGGTATACAAAGGCCTATGCGCGCTGCATGTCTTCAAATACCAGCAACATTGCGACTGTTTTTTTTTTTGAACTATTTGGTTTAGGCCTTGTTTTAGTCAAAATGCAATAAAAGCAAGGACTAAAAACTAACCAATCTTGAAGAAAATTTATTCATCAACGGCCTAAAACTATGTGGGCAGGGCTAAATATTCTATCTAGCTAGTAATATTCGACGGAATATCAAAAACGAGGAATATGTGTAATAGAACTTGAGTTGGTCAGTATATTTACGGTATATTTTTAAAGTGTGACGGTATATTTTGGCATTTGTCTGAGGGTCGGACCGTATATTTATCTGTTTACAATTTGCAGTGATGATGTGGAACTTTAAATAAATTAAAAAGTTAGCAAATAGGATGGACATAACCCAGCACTTTAAGGCGAGTGTCATGGCGGTGCGCCTGCAGCGTAAGACTGAGCTGGCTTCGTCCGGCAAAGGCAAGCCCACGGCAGGACCAACGAAGCCTACTGGACCCCGGGATGACTTCGCCATTGAGGCCAAAAAGGTGTGCAACAAGATCACAGATCTGCGCAATCTTCTCATAGAGAATCGCACTGCCTACATGAGGATTGGCCAGCACCTGAAGAGTGCGGCGCACATGACAGATGCCCAACGCAATTTAATCGATCGGGAATCGGAGAAATTCGTTGCAGTCTACACGCAGCTTCTGGCCAAGATGCGTATCGAATGGAAGAGTGTGAAGCGGAAGCCCCAGGAGCAGCAGCACATCGAGGCCGTGCTCGACTTGTTGGTGAGCTATCTGCACGGCGTGGAGCAGATATATCTGGATCAGAAAAAGTACCGTGTCCAGCATGAACTAGAGACATACAGACTGCTCAAGCTGGCGGCAGACAAAAAGAAGATACCCGTCCGTCCAGCGGGCGGACAAAGTGCTAAGATCGGTAAGCGCCAGATCAGCAATGGCAGAGCCGAAAGCAATGAGGCGTCGCCGTCGGACGATGGCGCTCCCAACGACTTCGGCGACAACGATTGGAACACCGATGGGTGGGGCGAATGGGATGACGACGAAGATGAGAATGTGAATGATGATGATAGACAGCTGGAGAGCAGTGCACCTCGGTCAACGCGACACAAGTCGCGAACGCGAAAGCACAGCAAGGACAAGAAGGCTGCCCCAAACGACTCTTCGGCCAAGGTGGCACTGGATGAGGATATTCACAAGTCCGCACAGGAGCTGGGTGACGAAGAGGATTCCCTGAGCGCGGAGGATGTACAGCTGTTTGAGGCTGAGAATGTCCACATATATAATTTCCTGCAAGGGCTCTCCGAGGAGGTAGAGCAGATTGGGAAGAATGTGGTGGACATAGCCCAGCTGCAGGATATTTTTACCGAGAAAGTATGTCGATTCACTCCACAGAAGATACAGAATACTGTCTCAGATCTTGTCTAACACTTAATGCAATGCACTTTCAGGTCGCCATGCAGCAGCACAACATCGATCGGATCGTCAGTGCCGTTGTGGGCAGCACGGAGAACGTCAAAGATGCCAACGAGCAGATCCGCCAGGCAACCCAACGAAACGCCTCCGTTCGTGTCTATTTCCTGTTCTTTTTGATTGTTATGTCGTTCTCCTTGCTGTTCCTGGACTGGTACTACGACTAGGACAGGCCTGAGGAGAGCCGCAGTAAAACACGTTTTATTTAATCGTTGGATCGTACTAATCGACATAATTCGTTTATTGTATAGTTTATAAATAAAAGGAGAAATGAAAGTGTGATTCAATTGCTTGGTTTCTTCAATGAAACGATGTCAAACAACTTGGAATTAAAATAGATTTGAGCTGAAATCGAACTCTTAGGCTTAAGGTTCCACGCTTAAGGGTTTAAGTGGGGGTGGCGGGGGTCGTTTCTTTTATGATCTTTTATTCCTAGGGGCTTACAGTCTAATGAAGTAATTTGTTCGTTTAATTAGTGGCTTCTCTATATCAAAGAATACGTGGTTCTACTACGTGGAAACATTAACTCAGACTATGCATAAGGCTTATTCCTAGAATGCAGAGTCCGTTTCATTGACCTCGGCTGATATTCATTGCATGAACGTCTAAACGTCTAATTTCTACCTAACTTAACATCTATTTATGTGTAACCTGTCGATTGTTACGGAGTGTTGTGTGTGTTCTCCGTGTGTGTTTGGGGGAGTGTATTCATTGCTTAGTCTCTAGGTTTTTTATGTGCAATTATGGATTGCATTCGATGCAGTCTGCTGGTTGGTTGGGCTGGTCTGGTCCTGTCTGGTCTGGGCTTAAGGACTCTTAAGTTTGACTCCAATGGAAGCTATTCGCTAGAGCCACTAAAAGTAGCAATAGTAGTAGGAAGGCGCCGCTGTAACGTGGCTTGGTTGTTGGTAATTGTAATAAACGCAATTATTGAAAACTAAATAATAATTCGGCCACGTGGGTTATGGCGTTGTGGCAATCGAATCTAGGCTAGGAAGACTACGTCCAGCCAAAGCACTGCTCTCCGCCGAATTGGAGATCGGGCAGCATTCGTCTGAATTGTTATTGATATTGCTCATCGGGGTCAGCGGTGTCTCCTCCATGATGGGTGTGGCTGGATTCTCGCTGGACTTGTCATTGCGGACGCTGCTGATGATGCTGGTGGTGCTGCAGTTGGACGCCGACTTCAGTGCGGTCTCCTCGTTCAGGAACACTCCAAGCGGCAGATGGGAGTTCATGTGAGCTAGTGATTGGAAGTGTAGCAAAAATCAATTAGTGGCTTGTCTATTTCGTCAGCGATTAAACGGTTTATAGGTGCGTCTTAGGGCTAGGCCATGCAGGAAGGCAGTAAAGCATTCTAAGCGTGCCAAGGATACTACTACTACTATTATATCTAGGACTAGTGCCAACAGAATGTTGGTTTTTGCTTCTTATAAACGAGAGTCTTTACCGCGGAAGCCCATGAAATGCAAGAAGGAGCGTGGACAGAACTCGCACTTGTAAAACAGTTCGCTGTTGTGGGTGCGCCGGTGCTTGCGCAAATCTCTGAGATACTCGAATGCCTGATCGCACTCGTCGCACTGGTAACCGAGCTCTGGAATAGACAATTAATTGGTGGCCTTCTGCACATAGTAATTGGAAATCGATGGGAGCTTGGTGCAGATCGAGTGCGAACACTCGGTAATGCTTGGGACATCGTGAACACGGCACAACGGAGGTTGGAGGAACACTCAGTACAAACGAACACACTGAGTTATGTATTTTGTTATTTATGTAAAGTGCGGAACATTTGCGGAGTAACTTCTCAAAGGTTGAAGCACACGTGCCGCGATATAGTGATACTTGGGTGCTTGGGTGTTGAAAAGTCATGAAAGATCCCATCATGGGATCTAGGCCATGTTAGTTCTACAAAAGTTCTTATTGGAGCTTCTTCCATGTCCGTGTTACAAAGATACAACTACGAGTGGATGTTTTACTTAATATTTCGATTTTAAATAGGTGCACACAATTGTTGGCAAGCATTTGCTGGGTTGGGGGTTAGTTCATGCCAAGCAATAATGGATTCTTTGTTCGATTCAGTTCGGGAATGAATCGAATCGAACAAGGATCAGAGGTCGAGAGTGGCTTTACCTTTGGAACATACGACCACGGTGGAATACACTGTTTCAACGATAACGTTTTGGTGGGGATTAGTAAAGGGTTACGGTTGCACAAAGACAATCATTACGACAGAACATAAGATTAGTTAAGACTAGGACTAGGACTAGGACTAGGACTACAAGCAACTAGCTGCCGCTCCCGGATACCACCCATTCCCTTAGTATGTTAGGCCACCGCATCCGCATGCGTGCGAGCACCCAAAAACTTACCACCGTGAAACTTAACGTGCGTCTTTAGGGCGCTCTCCGTACCAAATTGTTTGCCACACTCGTCGCAGGTGTGCGGCTTCGACAGCAGATGGACGGTGATCTTGTGCAGCGTCAGCTGCGAGGGTCGCGGGAACCGCACATGGCACAGGTTGCACTCGTACGGCCTGCCCTCCACATCGTGCGACTCCATGTGCCGGTGCAGGGCCGTCCGCATCCGATAGCCCCGCTTGCAGATGGTGCACACGAAGGGCATCGAGGTCTGGGCCCCGTGGGCCAGCAGGTGGTGCTTCCGCAGGGCAATGTCGTTGGTGAACCGCTCCTCGCAGTACAGGCACTGGTGGCTGGTCCGCAGTTCGCTGACCTGCACGGAGGCGGAGGCGGGCGTGTTTGGAGCCGAGTCTATCGTGGAAGAGGACGGCGACGACGAGGGCGAGGGTGAGGGCGAGGCCACGGGAGTGGCCAACTGCAGCGACTGGCTGAAGGCCCCCGCAGATTGCGGCCCCACAATGACGCCTCGTTTGCGGAACTGCCGCAGCGTCGTGGTGGAGTCCGGCTCCGACTGCTCTGGCGAGGGCAGGGTTATGTGCTGATGTGTGCTCGTCAGGGGCTGCGGCGACGGCACCGACATGATCGTCGAGGGCGGCGTTAGGGCCGTTGGCGGTGCCTGCAGATTGGTCTGCAGCTCCTCGTACTGTCCCTGTCCATGGCCGTGACTGTGGCCAGAGGTGCCTGCAAAAAAGCGGTATTTAGATGGGAATCCTCTATAAATCGGGCTTCCACTTACAGTCCTCGCAGTCCGGACAGCAGAGAATGCGCTGCCTGCGTCGTCGTGGCGTGTTGCCGTGCAGCTCGAGAGCTACAGGAGGATAGAGGGGAAGATTAGCGGGGATTCTCCCTTGGAATGGGTTCAAGTAGGGCTCACCTTTTGGATGCGGTGAGTGCTGCTGCTGGTGCTCGTTGCTGATCTGCAGTTGAACCTCCTCCACGCGCACACCTGCGCCCTTCTCTGCGCCGCCCGTGTTGCTGGTGATCTGCATGTGGAAGCGCTGGATGTGCAAGTCCAGGGCTCGCTGGGCGGGAAACACCTGCGAGCACTGGCCGCACTGGTACTGCTGCACCACGTGCTGGTTGAGGATGTGCTGCGAGCGCTTGCTGCGCGCCGCAAACGCCAGCGGACAGTGCGGGCAGTTGAATGGCGCCACCGCCGGATGCAGCTCGATGATGTGACGACTGTACTCCAGGCTGTTGGAGAACCTCGGTCCGTTCTGGCAGAAGCGGCACTTGAGCGACACTGCACGGCCCTTGGGCGTGGTGGCAGGCATTGGAGAGGCTGCTGCTAATACTGACTGATTTTGTACTTGATGCTGCTGCTGTTGATGCTGTTGTTGCTGCTGCTGTTGCTGGAGATGGTGCAACTCGTTGCTGATGGGCGCACCGTAAAAATGCAACGGCGCCTGCTGGGGATTACTGGCCGAGGCCACTGGCTGCTGCAGCTCCGGCTGCTGGATCAGTATCATGATGGGCTGCTGTTGCTGCTGCTGCTGGTGCTGCTGCGCCTGCTGTTGCTGCTGCTGTTGCTGATGATGGATCTGCTGCAGCTGCTGCTGCTGCTGATGGGTGGCCTGCTCGAGCATGTAGTTCTCGTTGGGATCTAGCATCGTGTAGGTGGTCTCCAGTGGCGCAGCCTGCTGCTGGTGCTGGTAGAGATCCCCGGCACTGATGTAGTACGTTGTGGTGCTCTCCGATGGACCAAAGCTGCCCTTGATGGCCTCCAGTCCGCCCACTGCTGACCACTGCAGATGTGTCGTGTGCTGCTGCTGCTCCTGGGACTGATACTGCTGCCATTGCTGCTGCTGCTGCTGCTGCTGCGTATCGATGTGAGCTGGCATCAGTTGCAGCTTGCTGGCCGACTGCTGGTGATGATGGTGATAGATCTGCTCGTAGGAAACGGTCGTTGTCGTCTCCTGGTGATGCACCTGAGGCACCTGGACCAGCTGAGGCTGCTCCAGAGCTTTTGCGACTGTTGGCTGCTGACGGACATGAATATGCTCTAGAGGTGGTTGCTGCACCTGCACCTGAACCTGAGGCTCCGCCTGAGGCTGTTGCTCGACCAGAGGCGGCTCCACCAGATGCTGCACCTTAGGGGGGACTGCGACTGCGACTGCCTCGACCTGAGGTGCCGCCACCTGCACCTGAACCTGGGCCCCAGGCGACACCTGCGTTGCCTGTGATCCCTGCTGAGGCTGCAGTTCGTTGAGGAACTGCGTCAGCTCCAGATGCAGACTCTGGTCGGGCTCTGGCGAGGCCTCGATGTTCTCAAAGCAGGGTATGTCATTCTGGAAGCCAATCAGTTCGTTGCTGAAGTTGCTGTTATCGAAGAGATCCTCCTGCTGCCTGGCCCCTGGTTTCTCCCGCAGCGGCGATACGTTATCCTCCGTGGCTGCCACTGCCACTGCCACAGGGCTGCAGTCGCGGGAGGACTCCTGCTCCTGCTCGGGCTCGGGCTCGGGGTCGCTGAGGGAGGCATAGTCGGCGGGGGTGAGGAACTCGTCGATGTGCGGACAGGTCGGTGTGTACATGTGCTGGTCCTGCATCTCGTTGAGGATGCCGTTCAGCGTGGTCTCCACGTCGTTCATCTCCACCTCGAGCTGCTGCTTGGCCTCCAGGTCGTTGAGGGCCAGCGGCAGGGGCTCGGCTCTGGGCGTGGGCGGCGGCGATGGGGCCGGTGTCGTGGCCCCGATCTGCTCGAGACCCTTCTCGCAATGCTTCTCGAATTCGGCCAGAAAGTCCATGGGCGTGGGTCCAGTCCGTACCACTGGCAGCTCATCCGAGGACGAGAGCGAGTCCTCGTCCCCATCCGCTGCTGGTGGTGGTAGTGGCGCCCCATCGGGGGGGCGGCCTGCGTTTGCTTCA